TTCCGGCCAGCACCTGGGGGTGGGGGTAAACCTCAGGGGGCTCAGCGGGGCGGGGCCGGGGTCTCCTTCCACCAAAAAAGGGGAAAGGAAAATCCCAGCGCCCTCCGCCAGGGCCGGTCGGATGAGTTAAGTCTGCTGCGCTCAGCCCGTTCATGGCTGGTGTGATGGTGAGTTTGGGCACAAGACTGAACTTCCCTGAGCCTCAGTTTCCTTCTCGATGAGATGAGGATGAGGAAGGGGAGGATGATGTCTACCCCATCAGATGAGACGATCAGGCAACGTGCTCACTTGGCACCGTCTCAGGCCCACGGTGACGGTCAGTGTTTTGTGGCTTTTATGTTTCCGCCACATCGCTCCCTCTCGGTTGCCTCCTGCCTAGCCCGGATTTTTTTTTTTTTTTTTTTTTTGAGTCAGGGTCTCTGTCACCCAGGCTGGAGTGCAGTGGCACTATCACAGCTCACCACGGCCTCAACCTCCTGGGCTCAAGAAGTGACGCGAAGCCAGGCTCGGTGGCTCAGCCTGTATCCCGCGCCTTTGGGAGGCTGAGGTGCGTGGATCGCCCGAGCCCGCGGGTTCGAGACCCGCCTGGGCGGCGAGACCTCATCTCTACAATAAATCAAAAAATCAGCCGGGCGTGGTAGCGCGCGCCTGGAGTTCCGGCTACTTGGAAGGCTGAGGCGGAGGGATCGCCGAACCCAGCAGGTCAAGGCTGCGGTGGCCGGGAGCGGCCACTGCACTCCAGTCTGGGCGACAGAGTGAGACTCCAACTCAAAAAAAAAAAGAAGTGACGCACCTCGGCCTCCTGAGTAGCTGGGACTAACAGGCGCACACCACCACATCCAGCTTATTTTTTGAGTTTTTGTAGAGACAAGGTCTCACTATGTTGCGCAGACCGGTCTCGGGATGTTGCTGGTCTCAAACTCCTGGGCTCGAGCAATCGATCCTCCTGTCTCAGCCTCCCAAAGTGCCGGGATTACAGGCATGAGCTACCTCGCCCGGCCTAGCCCAGACATCGAGAGGAGTGTGGATGGAACAGCCCTTGCTTCATGAGCAGGTCTGCCCTGAAGCCTGGGAGAAGCACTCGTGCCTTCTTTCTCTGCCAGCAGATTGTTCCATGGCCTCCCCTTCCCCAATGGGAAGAAGAAAACAAAGGTCTTCTGCGTTTTTCATCTTAGACCAGGCTCCAGTCTGAACTAGATCTCACCTGCTGCAGATGTCGCCCAGAGCGCATGATGATTCTTGGGTGTTTTTCTGTGGGAGCCAGAGCCCCTGCCCTCCACAGCATGTCACCCGGCCTCCTCAGTGCTCTGTGTCTGGGAGAGGCTCCTAACGAGATGGCACTTGCCAAGGACCCCACAGCGAGGCAGGGGCTCAGTCTGATGGGGACATCGGGCTCCCCAGTTGTAGCTTGAGGGACCCGCCAGCCGCCAGAGGCCCTCGGCCTGGCTCCCCGTTTGGCTTTAGGCCAACAAGTGGGCCTCAGTTTCCCCAAGAGTGCAGTGGAGGCTCACTCACCGCCCGCTGGCTGGCTGCCAACTCAAAGGTGAACCTCTGCACACGGCGCTGCCTCTTCTGGAAGAGGAGGGACCCTCGGTTGTTACGCAATGAAAGCTCCTCCATCATCAGGTCCTGGGGCACGCTCAGCTTCTTGCCCAGGTCCAGCGAAGGTCCTGCCGGGAGGGCCAGAGCCGCTGTCACCACCCAACCCCCAGGCCTCCAGATCCTGCCTCCCAGGCCGCCTCCTCACGGCTTCCCACCTGTGGATGAGAATGCTTGGTCCTCGCACCCTTGCCTTTGCTGGTGTCATCACCACCTGATGGACAAAAATGACACTCCAGAGGTGGATGTTCACGTGTCTAATGCTCAGTGAGGTGGAGCACTGTTTCAGGAATTCTCTGACCCTTGGTGTTTGATCCTGGGGTTCCCGGTAAAGCTCTTTGCCCGCATGTTGGAGGTAATGAGACGTGATCACACTTGGGATATGTTTTATGGGCAAGCCATGACTGGGCATGGTGGCTCGCTCCTATAATCCCAGCACTTTGAGAGGCCGAGGTGAGAGGATTGCCTGAGCCTGTGGGTTCTAGATCAGCCTGGGCAACTCTACTCTACAACAAATAAAAAAAAATTAGCTGGGCTTGGTGGCACATGCCTGTAGTTCCAGCTACTTGGAAGACTGAGGCAGAAGGATCACCTGAACCCAGCAGCATGCCTGGGACAGGAGGGAGAGGAGGCAGGGAGGACGGACAGGCTTCTGGAGTCTTCCTGACCAATGGAAGCATGGAACAGACATACGCTGAGAAGGGGAAAAGGTCTGGGGAAGATTAAGGTCCAGTTTCAGACACATATTCTTTTAATTAAAAAAATTTTTTGATTATTATTTAAAAAACAGCATAGATGGGCATGGAGGAAAAATAGAAAGGGCATCTATAAGAATAAAGCAATAAATACCATTATCTGTCACCCAGAGATTACCACCATAGACACCTTAGTGGGTGTCCTTCCCTATTCTTTTCAATGACTCTCTCTCTCTCTCTCTCTCTCTCTCTCTATATATATATATATATATATATATATATT